AGAATAGCGCTTGGAGTCGCATTTACCAGTAAATATCTTTCCGTTAGATCAATGCAATATTATTTTTTACATCTTTTTCAGGCTCTCGGAGAAATGTACGAGCATGACTATTTTGAGGCATGACCTGTTCCATTTAATCCTAAACACGCAGCTTGATCTTAGAATAACTTGTTACAGGAAAGTTGCCTCCCTGATTCGGCTTGATTTTACTTGCTTATATGAAAAATTCTCAAATCAGACTCTAGCACTCTAGCTTTGGTTAGATGGTTGACCACCGTACTTCGGTGAACTTGAGTGCTATCCGCTTGAGATACTTCTTTGAGGCAGAACTTCCTCAGTTAAGAGGGAGGGGGAAGAGATATGAATGAAAAATCATCATAAACCGAAACAGACTTCATCAGCATGGCCACACTAACAGTAATTAACAAAATCATTAACATTCTGATAAATGCTAATAGTAGCTATAGAGAATAGACTTATTCTGCGAAACCAATCAAATAACAAATGCACTTATTCAGTATTCATGTTCCCGAGGAGCTTGTTTGACTCCGCCCTCCTACAATATTTATGATTTAGGCAAATTTTAACATGCGTAATATTCTTTTTCACCTCTGATCGAATGACATCTATACCACTCGCGTGTAGTTCATCCATCATATCGTCACGGCAAATATTGAAAAATCCAACAGCACAGAAGAGACATATGAGAATCAAGAAGAAAGGCATCACAAATAGAACTTCAGCATTTGTAGGTAATTCTGCTGAAATGGAAAATTAATTTTTCATTTTCTCATATTACAACGTTAAACTTACACTCCATCAGATGATTTTCTCTTTTCTCTTGAAATAATGCTGTTGTCGGCGCTTCTATCTCTTTTTTCCATTTTTTCTCGATCTGGTATTGTGATCCCAAACCTTTGAATCCGAAGCTTCTCTGGTCGAATGGAACAACTTTTTTCAAATCGACAACGGTTTTCAACAACGGCACAACTAATTCACCCTGAAAAAGTTTACATTTTTATACTATGTTTGTGTGAATCTCACAATTTTACTAACCTGATCGTACAACATAACAGCACAGAAGCCAGATTTACAACAACATTTATGCTCCTCTATCAATATGTGATTATCCACAAACGTCGAATCTAATGAGCAAACAGTTTTCCCATGTTCATCATAAACACATGGTTCTGCATTTGAGAAGTTATGATGAACTGCAAGAATTTATGATAATGTGAAATGCACAATGTAATGACTACTGCTTTCATACCAACAAAGACATATCGAAAGTCACCCTTTTCCCATTTCTCTGGAACCTTCTGGAATTGATGTAACGTCACGTTAATACAGTTACTTGCGCTGAGAGTGCCTCATCTTTCTTACTCGATGTATTTACTACAAGGCAGGAAGAAAACCCAAAAGAGGGATCTTTTTTGGTCATAATCATTTTTCTTGG